GTCGGTGAGAGGTTTGAGATGATCATCATTCTCATTTACGGATGGGCTAATCATATTGGATGACTTAGCATTGCCTCTTTTCTTTTTGGATGAGGTATTCATCCACTGTCAGTCTTCAACCAGGTCAGGATGGATCCACATAATCTCCCCTTTTGGGGTAGTGAGGAGTACCAACCCCCTATCTTCTGACTGTGCAAGTCAGTGTTTTTCAGATACATTTCCCCTTTGTGGATGGAGACAACACCGTTTGCAGTTGCTACCGGAGGGAAGTCACCGAACTAGACCGCTATCAAATTGGTGGATACGGTCTTCTGCTCGAGCTTCTAGGTGAGCACGTTAGCATTTACCAGGTTTTGTAGAATGTCTTTAAAGGCATAACATTTTCTGGTAGGATGCCCCAGGAACCTGTGATAACAGCAGTAATTAGGGTCATCCACCTTCCCTGCCTCATCCGATTTCCTGATCTCGGGAAGCTGCAGCTTATTGTTCTTTCGAAGTAGTTGGAACAAGGTGTCCACATGCTCTTCCTTGAACGAGTATTTCTTAGGTGCTCTTGGTTGGTTCGGTGCTTTGCCTTGCTTAGCAGGTGGTGCACACATGTTGGTGTCGGCTGTCAAAGTCTCCTTTCCCTTTGATCGTGGAGGGTTGTGCTGGTTGCATTGATGCTACGGCTTAGGTTGAGGAGTTTCTTCAGCCTTGACCCGAGCAACGATTTCTTCGGCTTGTTCCCCTTGCGATGCCAATTGTCTCCAGGAGCGACATTTTGTCACCCCCATTTGAGCAAGGAGCTGGGTCTGCAAGTTGTGCCTACAAGTTTTAACCAAAGTTGATTGAGTCATACCTGATGGGCATCGCAATGCCATGCTACGGAATCTCTCAGCATAGGTCTTGATAGACTCTCCTTTCCTTTGCTTAGTAGCGAGAAGAGTCAGGACTGAGACTTTCGTATCATCCTCAAAGAATCTGGCTAAGAAAAGTCTTTCCATATCTACCCATTTTTGGATGGATCCAGTAGGCAATTGTATAAACCACTCAAAAGCGACACCCTTGAGGGTACCGATGAATAATCGGGTCAAAATGGCATCGTTCGCTACCACATCTCTAGTCTATAACTTGAAGTAGTAGATATGTTGATTTGGAGATCCTGTGTCATCGAACGGTTGCAAGGTTGGAGCCTTAAACTTTGGTGGATAGGGAGTTGTGTCCCATTCAGCACAGCAGGATAAGGTCGTACCACTCCTTGTTCGCGGAGCTCGCTTATGTTGGCGATTGCGTTGAGGCGAGCTTCTAGGTCATCCACCTTAGAGGACTGAGGATGCAGTTTTTTTCCATCTTCTTCTCGTTTTCAGAGGAGGATTCTATGTTCTGAGCTTCGCGATCTGAATGCTTAGGCACCTTTTGCTTTCCCTTTGAAATTGTCCTCCGGGAAGACTCAGGTCTTTGGCCTTTTTCAGCAAGGAGCTGGGCCAACATGTCCTTCATCTGAAGAAGTGTTTCTTGTTGCGCCTGGAGCATAACGTGATGCTTGTCAACCCTCTTTGCTAAGTCTTCGGGGCCTCCGGTCATATAAACGGGAGCCACTCGCGCCATGATAGAACTTAAGGATTGAGATTCAGCAATTGCTGAATGTTCCTCATCTGAAGCAATCCCCTTAGCTAGCCTTCGATAGTTAACTGAGCGGATAGCTCCTGTATGAGTCCGAGTGTGCTGGTATACTCCTTTGAACTCGTCATAGATTTCCCGAACATTCGGGGAATGACTTCTTTCCGATTCATCAAAACTGAGAGTTGAGGATTTTCCTCTGCCGATCACATTAATAGTGACCTTGGGATATTCTGTTTTGGAGATCTTTTTTTGTGACGACGTTGTCGCTTGGCAGGCCTAACGATATTCATCAATCTGTTGAACACCGATTGTTGAGGCGTAGTGAGCAACATTGGCACTCCGAGAGGACTGCGGAAATAAGCCACTCACATTGGCATAAATGAGCTGCTTGTTATGTTGGTCTTCCTCTTGGCAGTAATTCCTGTAAATCAGAGACCTGGGAGGAATGTCTTTCTGAGTGTGAGGACGGAGATGGAACCCCTTGCCCCTGAGTGGGTAGGACTGGTTCCTGTCGAACATGAATTTTAAATCCATGTTGACCTTTTTGTTCTTGGCGGACCACATCGCGTTCTTGAGAAGAAACGTGAGGGTCGTGTTTAGATTTGTAAACGTCAGGTTGAGGCCTGCGCTTAGTTGATGGAACAGACCCCTGAGGGTCTTTTTTTATTTGGATGCACCCCTAAGGTGTGCGTTTGATAGATGAAACAGACCCCTGAGGGTCATGTTTTGTTTGAACGCACCCCTGAGGGCTGTGTTTGGTTGGTGAAACAGCCCCTTGAGGATCATGCTTCGTTTGAACGCACTTGTGAAGTGTGCATTTATCTTTAGTAGCGCTTTCCTGAGGGCTGCGTTTTGGGTGAACAACGCGCCACTGAGGGTAGCGTTTTAGCTGTATCATCTAAGGCTCATAGTTAGGTTCATTACCACGAAGTGTGCATTCTGGAGTGGAGACGCAGTGTTCGGGTAGAGACTCAAAAATGCGATGCTCGCATTGAGCCAGAGATTGGCCTTCTCGAAGATGCACTCGTTGTATGGATCTTCTCCTCCTTCGAGCGGCGTTCTTTTTGGCTTGTTTTAAATCCTTGGCAGCAATATCATTGGTGTTTACAGAGCTCGCCTCCTCCATGGGTCTTTTGTGACCCGTAACATGTCGTGTTGACGGGGATGTGGAACGGTCAACTCGTTGGACGAGTTCGGCAAAGGCTGAGCCTGCTCCTTTGGCGAAGGGGCTGTTCGATGAATCTTGGCCAAAGGAGAGGGCTTTTTTTGGTATTTCAGCAATAGTTTTGATCTCCTTAGAGATCTTGCGGGTGTTATGCCTAGCCTTAGAGGTAAGCGATCTAGAGGAGAGGGCCTCCTCGTACTTGGCTTGGTCAAACTCTACGATGAAAGTTTCGATAGTTGTTCCCGTGAGGTGAACGTTAGATTGCGCCACCACTTCGTCGTTAGAGAAGCTAGTCCCCAGTGGAGTCGCCATCTTTTATTTGTGGAAAAATTTGTAGTAAAAAAGAATAAAAGAAAATTGATTTGTATTCTCTCGATCTCAATTACAATTTGAATTCTGATTACAAAAGAGAGGAGAATGATCTGAATTCTCCCCTTTGTTTAATTATGGGTTCTTCACAGTGGCGATGGAGTGCCTCCTTCGAATGCTTGCGTCAAATTTGCTCTCCGTTGACGATCCAACCGTCTTTGTCTCGTAGGAACAATTGACTTGTGTGATAAGTCTGATTGAGAATTCTTAACGAGTTTAAGAACTCAAAGCGAGTTAAAAGTTTGTGAAAAGAGTTATTTGAACTGAAAATTCGGCTGATAGCCAAGTAGATTTGTTGTTGTTGAAGTTGAAGATGCCAATCTCCTCCAAGATTCGTCCTTAGCCTATCACAAGAGGATCTCTAAAAATCAGGCCGAAATAATCCTCCTCATATCATAAAAATCCGATCTTAACCGAACCCAAACCGAGCCGAACAACCAACTTCCACTGAACCGACCCTTAACTCTATGGAGTTTTTTAGGATTTATAGGGGATAGGGGGTTGTAACTGACCCTTAATCCGCTCCTACGTGGGTGTGATTCTCTCAGATCGTGGGGAGAAATGATTTTAAAACTGTTCGACTCACGTTTGAATGAGTCAAACGCCCAGGACAGCATTTAAGAACCTAACTCCGCATCTTAGATTGGAGACGCGGAGTTGGATATCCGCTGGAGGTTGAAAAACGCGAGGGCCGCCCGCGTTTTGTTTACTAAAGACTGGAAACACGGGGGTTGCCTGCATTTTGTTTGTTGAAGATTGGAAACATGGGGGTCGCCTACGATTCAAGAATTGAAACACGAAGATGAATTCCGCATTTAGAAGGGGCTAGTTGACTTGTAGCCTCTTCTGTAGAGCGTTGCAAGGATCATTGTTCAGTAATCTTTGCTTTAGTTGTTGTGAGGTGTGAAAGTCGTTGAATTGTAACTCACACAGTTGATTGTGATGGCCACTGAATAGAGTTTTTATCAGTTGTCGGAAGGGTTGTTGAATTATAACTCCTCTCGATCTATGTGAAAAGTCCTCTATTTGCAGCTTTCATTTGTTAACATGAAAGTCGTCTAATTATAACCTTCTTAGTCAAGACTGTTAATTGACATTTGACAGGGATCAACTATCTATTATGATTTTTAGACAGTCTACAAGGAGTCATAGTAGTAGTCTCGAGAGTGGGTGAACCTGCATGAAAAAATGGTCGGAACACGAAAGGAAGGTGCAGTAGAATTCAAAATAAACCAGGCTTACCGGTGATAGAAAAAGGGATATGAGCAGACGCCTTATCTGACACGATCTTGAGGGCATCATCAAAAAGTATGATGGCATCCATAGAATCATGCTCTTCATCCTCTTCATCACCACCTCTGATGTTATCAACCTCAGCGCCTTCATCATCTTTATTGTCACCAGCTGCATCACCAATTGAGGAGGCTTCGTAATCTACTTCCTCTTCGTCATCACGCACAGCTGAAGACTCAGGGGAACTAATGACGATAGCTGACTTAGTCATGAGTCCCGTTGTCGGGCTAAGTCTTGAATTACTAGTTTGTGGCATTAGTACTGAAGGAGGAGGAGATTGATTTCCTTCGAGGCCACTTGGTGCTGATACAGGATCTTTGAGAGAACCCATCACCGGAGTAGATTCTGTGTCTATAATCATTAATTCGTCCTCTTTGTCCTCAGGAGGATGGTAAGAGGAAGCTTCGTTCGACAGGGCTGAGCCACTTGAACGGAGCCCAGTTCTGTGTGGTAGGCCCGTGACTGAAGACTCTTGTTGTTCTTCTTCTTCTTCTGCAGCTCTGAAGGCATCCACCATCAATTTTAGCTTTTGCTGGCCTTTAGTAGGAGGAGACTCAACCATCAACTTTCAACGAGTCTGTTTATCGTATTGGCCAGTTTCATCTGCTGTAAGAGCCCTCTTTCCAGTAGCTCTTGTTGTGGGAGTATCAACCATTCGGGGTTCTTTCAACGGAACTAGCTCAGCCGCTTGTTCCTCTTCTTGTCCAACAGGCGGGTCCTCAAAAGACAAGTACTCGTCAATCCCTCCCAGTCGAGATGTCTTAGACCCCCTTCTTGAAGCATATATACGTCTGATTTTCTTCAGACAAGATGTATTCAACTTGTAGCCAGAGGTCTGAGAAGCAGCAGAATACCAATTGCAGAAACCCATAGAAGTGTAGGAATTAGGTGTTTTATGGGGGAGATTGAAGACGGCCTTGGTGCAACCAGCCACTGAATAGTACCAGGATCTGGCCCCTTCGTACAGGTTGCCTACAATCGCAAGCTGAGGTCGAGGGTTTCTAACATATAGCTGGTCATATCCAAATTGTCGAGCAAACCTATATGGTTGATATGGATCAATAAAACATTTGCCACCCTGCCTGAAAATCAAGTAGCCTGGCCTGATGTAGAGCAGCCAGCGAAAAACACCCACATTTAGCTGAGTAAATCCGTTAGGGCCTGTCACATCCTGAAACGTCACCCCGTATACCCCACCTTCAAAATCGGGGAAGCAACGGAAGATGTGATAATTGGTGTCCCGCGACAAAATCTGGCGAATCCTAACCATGTAAGTCCCCTCCCATGTTGTTGACTCCAATCGTTGTATAAGAGGAGTTGTCACGCCCCGCTTCCCAAAATACCAGGGAACCGGGACGTGAACAAGCCCGCGACGTATTAGATTGAGAAGAAATATACAATATCATTATTTTTCTCTTTTCTTTTCTTCTCAATCCAATACGCTAAGCGTCTAGAAATAAGTACAATGCGAAGTCACAGGTCCCCGATCACACATAGCAAGAATATAAAGACAACCCAGAATAAAAATAGACATATCATCAATGGTAAATCATCCCAGACATAAAATACGGGTCAAATATGCCCTTATACAAATCTAAACAAAAGAATACTGAAAAGATACAAAATACACTGATCAAATAGAAATGGAAGGTAGTACGAAAGAAAACAGAGGACCAATAACTAAGCTTCAGCTTCTTCTGCTCCGTCTGCAGGGCACTCCTGCTGAGAATCTTCTGGCTCCTGGAGATCTTCTGGCTGAACCTGTTCTTCTCCTAAGTCTGACGTACACCAGAGAAAACAGGTGTACGTCAGGTGCATGACGCACGGCAAGACCCGACCCCACAAAGAAAATAGAACGAACAGAAATCCAATGCGAAAAACGATACGATAACAGAAACAACAAAAGAACGTACAATCGAAATCCACAAATCAACATGAAAACACTACTAATTTATGATAACAATAAGCATCCAGAATCGATCAGGTAACGAATTATGCAGCTAGCGATCAGTCTAATCATCCAAACAACAAGGACATACACTAGATGGAATTAATACTTAAAAATCTACAACAAGAGACGTAGTACGTCGAGCGAAATAATCCAAACAAGGAAACCCTCATGTATATACCATATGTCTCAAATTGTAGATAATTAAATATTAATCCTAATCTAGGTATGGAAAGAAATATAACTGGCCTATATCTCACAAGGATCCAAATTCAT